TCACTGACTAGGATTCATTTTATTGTTTATATTCACTAAAAAAAAAATCATTTTTAACAAGGTAAATGACCTTACAGTTTTATCTCTTCCCAACAAGCTGTGACCAACTATGCAATACACTATTTCGACCGTGATCTCTGTCATCTTTTCCTCTGATTTACACAGAATCTTATGGATAACAAATAAAGTTTCTCCTTATTGCAGGAGGGTGGGGGAATATAAAAAAGCCAATGAATATCTGAACAGGCTGCCATAAATACAGCTTGTTTGGCATGCCTGTCCCTGAGATGAACTGATTTGTGGCCTGGATTCAAAAATGTTTTACTGTTCTTTGCTTCTCACTCTGTGGATTCAGCTATTTAGATCAGGCTAATTTTCAACTGGAGGAACTGAAGAGCTATTATTCTCCCTGAAGGTTATCTCATTTGTTTAAAAACTGGTGGCAAACCGTTGACCGCTGTATTTGTTTCAAAGAGAGCAGCCATGGGGGAGGAGGGTTATTTCTGGAGAACTCCCACGTGCAAACTCCCAAGGTCCTTTCCTGAAATAACAAATCGTTTCATGAGTGGTGTAATGAACTTCACATGATTTCCAGCAACTCTCTCCTCAGCTGTAGCAGAGGATGAGCTCATCAGATTACGCTCCATGGGGTTTAAGCGGGTGTATTTCTTGTCATAAAACATGTCAGAATATGGTATCTTTTCAGCCTCTACCACTGTACCAAAGTTGTTGAGGTTGGCCAACCACTTCTGCAAGGGGAAGAAGGACGGAAGCAAACTTATGCACAGGACAACACCTTTGGAAGTGAGGCTAGAATTCCAGAAACTTTAGAAAAGTGGAACTAAATATTCCATATTATTGGTTAGATCCTTAGACAAGGTCATTCTCTATATTCTTCTTTTGGAAGGAAATGACACTTGCAGACTCTCCTTGCTCAATGGATATACAAGAACAGATACCAGGTTAGCTATTAGCAAGCAGTAATTGCCTTTTGTGTTTTGTTTTTTTTTTTTTTTAATTTTAGTGAAGGAATTCATTGTCTGTTGAATGATGATAATAAAAGCAAACTTCTTTCTGTGGTAGGTATGTCATGACTGGGAGCAACTTTAACAAGAATGTGTCAATACATTGCTAAAGCTTGTAATGAAACGCATGCATCCAGAGGAAACGCAGGATGAAATTTGTGTTTCTGACTCTTGCTGCTCATGCAGCATGGCATTAGGAGAACATGCCCTAGCTGGGAAGGAGAAACATTGGATATACTGGGCACCCACAGTGGGGAAAGTCTTGAAACAAGCACAATTTTCTGGGTATTGAGTTGAACTTCCCAGTTCCCAGTTTGACACCCAGCTGCCCACCATGCAGGGAGAGGAAGGCAAGCGCTTCTGAAGATGCAGCTGCTTTGAGCACTTGAAATGGGAGCTCCTCTAACTTGGACAGCTGGACTATTGTGTATACCATTATGTTTAAAAGTAGTGGTTGGGAAAGAATTAAGAGGAAAAGAAAAGGGAGATTAGTTCAGATAAATAAAATACAGAGCAAGCTGCTTCCCAGTCAGTTCAAACTCCCTGCGGGGAATTGCCTCACTGCGAAGGATGTCTGCCGGCTTCCTTCCCGCTCATCTTCCTTATGAGATCGTTTCCCTCCCCCAGTGCAAGGATGTCTTTGTAGCTCCTGCCACCTAGAATATCTTCCTTCTGTGTATTTTGCTTAAATGGCCTTTTTGCCTTATGACTTAACACCTTGTGAAATGATTTTATGTGCTTTTTAGTAAATGTGACAGGCAGTGTATTACCCACTGTCGTCTTTTATTTACTCCCGTAAAGCATTACGGAATACAGTTAGTATGTGACATTCAGGACTCTATAATACTGCATTACAACATGGGACAGTTCGGTGGCTTGAAAGAGGCACTGCTTTTTCCTTTACCTACATCTTTTCTCAAGTGTTTTTTTTCCCTGACTTTCCCCATGGCCTGTATTTGGTTTCCCCGAGTTCCCCAACTGTATCTGATGAGGACAATGCTTGTCTGCTTGCAAAGGTCTTGTCATTTTAGTCGCACATCTTAGTTGCTACAAGACATCTCCTCTCCTCAAGCTGTTTCCCAGATGTTTGGTGATTCATGAGGGGCCAACCTCCAGAGACTGAGTTTGGGTTGACTGTGTTCCCGTGTCTATCCAAACCAGTTAACTCTGCAAAATCCCACTGAAAATCCCCTTAGAAAACTCCAGTGCTTTTGGTTCCAGTCCTGGCTACACCACTTCAGGTTGTAATTTAGCAGGTGGGGAGGGAGGTAAGAGGGAATCAGGCTGTTCCAGAGCTGCTTGGAGTCTACTCCAGTGTCAGGTGAAGGCTCTGAGTGGCTTTGCATTTCATCCCATGTGAGTTACAGAAAGAGTATTTATGGCCATTCTTGTCAAACATACTTTCTTCCTTTGTGGAAAAGGCATAACTTCATACTGCAATGTTTTTATATCCCCTGTTTTATTATACTGAGCATTTTCTCCCCATGCTTCTCTCCAGCCTTTCCTCTATAATGACTTTGTAATTACTGCATTTGCCATGATAGAAATAACAAGTCACTGTGCTTTGATTTTTAAGCTTTTTGACATGTTCCGCTTTATTTCTCCATTTACCTATTCAACTTGGATACGGCAGAGCTGTGCCAGCCATCGCATTTCAGCACTGCACTTGATCAGCTGGGACGAACTTGCTGGCAGAGCACCCCAGCCTGTGGGATTCAGAGTTTAAGTTAAATGAAAAGCCAGGATAGAACCTATCTTCTTGGCGTACTGGAACACTGGTAACATACTTTCTTAGCTGGCGTGCTGAGTAAAGTGCACAGATTTTTTGTTTGGGCATATATATATATGTGCACATTTGAAAAAGAGTGTCCCTAGCACTCTAATCTCAGCAGCTGACAACTCCAGAGTAAAGCCTGGACTAGACCTGGCTAGGAAAAAGGAACTTTTCCCTCAGAAGCACAAACAACTTTGAACCGCACAGTGAAATGTGTGCTGATAGTGGGAAAATGGCAAGAGTTTCCTGTCCAGGAAAGAAAAGCAAAGTACTCTCAGGTATAGGATGAGCTCTGCCATGGTTTACTGCAGTAACTTTTGTTCTGAGTTAGGGAATGGTTGTTTCATTCAAAAGTGCGGAATTTGCTTTCATCAAAACAGTTTTATTTTTATCCCTTTTCTTGGACATTTTGGACATAGTCCTGTGCAATATCTTGTCCTCTTGGGTGTAGTGGGTGTTTTCAGAGTCCAAAGGTCCTCACATTTCAGTAGGAACTCAATAGTGTTGGCTGGACATTTTGTTTCATTCCAGATTAAGGAAAAAAAACCCAGAGGTGCCTTTATGTGTGTGTTTGTTTCCCCCTCCCCCCCCCAAAAAAAAAAAATTAGAGTAAGATAGAATAGAAAACAGACTTGAGTGTAGATGTTCCTGATGAAAATTGCAACAAAACTGATAGATGGATGGTCTTTATTTTCACTGAATTGTCACTTTTCCAATGCAAATTGTTTGGTCAAAACAGAGCAAAACAAATCAAAACTGACTAGTTCTGCCCTTTGTGAGCTATGGAGTTGGGGCTGGATTTGCTTAGAAGGGGTGGCTCAGGGTGTGAGAACACTTCATCTTGAATGAAAGCATCTTAGAAAGATGTCACAATTAGATCTTTGGAGATAGTTTTTACAGGAAACGTGGACTTTTATCTTCTAAGTTTCAGGTTATTTGGAAGCTAGAATTATTACCCTGTCAGAAGGGTACAATGAACTGTTGACACACCGCCACGCTTTGCTTACAGCTATGTGCAGGGAGATATTTACTGCCAGAAACCGGTGAAAAGCAACCTGAAAAATAGATGTACTTACCATGAAATTTGTACCATTTCTCTGAGTTTCTGTTTTCCATGAGTATTTATGAAACAATTGCTTTTATTGAAAGAGCTTAGAAACATTAGATTTTAAGAGAGAAAACTTTGATTGCTGTGTGTGACAGATGGCTGTGGCTGGTTGCTTACTTTGGTTTCGTATTTCCAACGTTCATAGAATGGCTTGGTGGGAGAAATTTTCCCATCATTTGCTCTTCCTCAGTAGCTAAATTCAGGAGAAAGCACCAGTTTTACATTTCTGTTGCTTGTAGTGGAACTGGAGGTTGACCTGACATCAGCAGAGTACTGGGGGTGATGTTCAGTTTAAGATTAAGACACCGGAGTTTAGGTGTTTACATGAAAGCAAGTGTCCAGGTTCCCATACTAAGTAGAAATTTGGTCAGTGCCGTTGGGTGACTGACTCAGGACCTGTCTGGATGTAGCTCCCACTGCCTATGTGGAGAAGGGGCTCGGCTTGCCCATGCGCAGGTGGCTTCGCAAGACAGCCCAGCTTCCACGGGACTTTTGCTGGGGGCTGCTGGATGTGCTACCGGACCTCCCTGCCCTCGTGGAGGCCAGGCAGCAAACCGTACTACGTCTTAAATGGTGCTAGAAATCTCTCTGTGAGTAATTGAGCTGAGCCCTAGATCCCCACATGGGGAACATGGACAGCTGTCTCACAGGTGGAGGCTCAGATCCGAGTGTCTTAACCAGGAACTGAGCCCTGCCATCATCTGCGTGTTGCCTTGCAGCCTTCTGATCCTTGAAATTTCACCACACTAAAGTTGTCAATGCACAAAAAAATCACTGTTTGCAGTTCTTTGGTGCCGGGAGACAAATTCCAATATCGGTAACAGCTGGACAATGCAAGGGGGTGGTGCAACTGAGAAGACATTTTAACATTTAGAGAGCTGGGTCTTGCCATGGTTCCTGTTATCCTTGGAGCCAGGGATTTACAGCAGCTGGGGCTTTACCTCGGTATAAGTAAACTTCAGGAACAATCGGGTATTTGCTCAGGCAGGAGTTGTGGAATTTTAGTTAAGTAAAGACTTGGCTATTTGTCTTGAAGTTACTCAATAAGACAGTTGGTGGGACAGTTTCTGACTTCAGTAGTATCGATGTAACCGTGGAGTAGCTGTTTGTGTTAATGATCCATTTACAGCAAATGATTCACACCATATAAATAAAATCAAAATATGACCTAACAAATGCTTCTGGGAGGAAATACTTAAGCACAATAAACAAACTTAGACTCACTCGCATGCACTTTCCTTTTAGTGCTGCTTTTGTTCAGAGGGCATCTCTCCCCAGAGCACCAAATTCAGGCAGCAGAGCTATTTACCTTTTTACTTCACTCTGCCATTGTTCTCAAGCTTACAGCTTTTATTAAAGTTTAAATTGTGTTTTAAAACCAAAATGGTGAGGAGGAATTTATATAATGGATATCAATGTAAAAGCAATGATATATTTATTGTAAAATGAAGAGTCTATATAGTTGAGTGCTGTTGTTCTTATTGTTTATAAGGGGTTGGATTAAGAGAAAATACACTGTACTTCCTATTTAATAATAACTGCTCCTAGACCCAACATTTTATAGACTTTAAATGCAAATAATTTGTGCTGTGTTATAAACTGTTGTGTTTTTTGCCTTCCTGTAACTGGAACAACATACTAATTTCTACAAGTTGTGACTACTAACAGAGAGCAATCACCTCACAGACTTGTACCGAAAAGAAGAGACCATCGGCGTGGCAGGGAACGGCTGCATCCACAGTCCTCGCTTCCCCAGCAGTTACCCCAGGAACCTCCTCCTGACGTGGCGGCTCCACTCCCCGGAGAGCACCAGGATCCAGCTGGCTTTTGATAATCAGTTCGGACTGGAGGAGCCTGAAAATGATATCTGCAGGTGAGTGACGAGGGGAAGTTTGCAAAGGGCTCCTTAATATCACCTTTGAGTTTAAGGATGTGGCCACTGGCATGAGGTTGCAAACCAAAACCTGGGTATCTCTGGCCAGGTCTAGGATGGCCCTGCTTGGAGAACAGACCTCCAAGGCTCCCTTCCAACCCAAACTGGCCTTTGAGTTTATCAATAAATTGAGCTGTCCTGGACTTGAAGTAGTTTTGGCAGGTTTTAGTCCTTCTATAATATTTCAAGCACAAGGCACTTTTGTGCTCAAATCCAGCTACCTAACAACTCAGATACTACTTGAATAGGATTTTGTCCTCTCTCACCTCTGTCATGTTTCAGCCAGACAAAACCCATCTCTTTCAGTGGGTGGAAGGCTCTGGGAGGTGTGAGTGAGTAGGTATGTGTTTATATGGGAGTGTGAGGGACAGATAGAAACGTAGTGAAAAATATAACTATGTTCTTCAAATTATTTGCTTGTCTTTATTGTTACCCTTCACTGGTACAGTTTCTTTCTAAACCTTTTAAATATAAATCCACAAACATCAGTGTACTCTGCATACTGATATATCTAACAAAGTGTACTCTACTATATCCCGGTTGCTTTGGTTTCCCCTTGTAAGCAAAAGTGACCATAAACTCAGTTGATATGACTGATTAATCCAGGTGAATAAACTGCTTTGCATTAGCGAAGCACAGAGGTGAATCTTGCCAGCATTCACTAAAACAGTGTAAATCCATGGAGCTTTTTGTTTATATTTCTTTTATTCAGCTATCTGTTCTGCAGGAGAAAGCAAGCGCAGGATTCCCCTGCGCTCCGAAAGGCAGATTGCTGTGATGCTTCTTACATAAAACGCTCAAGTCTCAGCTTCCAGCTCTCTAGCTCTCTACCCGATCATGTTGTTACGCCTTATCTATGCAAAGAACTAGGTTGTTAGGATTTCTGCACACCCAGCTTCTGCTTATCTTATCTTCTTTGTCAATTAATTTGCATTTGTAGGGTTTGGCAGCTCTGCAGGGTTTTACAGGGTGATTTTTTTTTTTTCTTGTTTTGCTTTGTTAATTTTCTGCGTTACCAGTAGAGAGAACTGTTTCTGCAGGTTTCCTTTCCATTTAGTAATAAAAGAATACAGCCTGAAACTGGCTCTCCTTCCCTGCCCCTTGATGGTCTTGGCAGCTGCTGCTCTGCTGTGGTACCGTTGGTCCAAGATCAGCAGTAAAATCGGTAATAACAGTTACCTCCTAGGACCACAAATGCTTTCCCAGATTGAGAGCCTAAATGCATACAGAAGCGGCCTGTTAATATTTACATAGTGGATAAACTGTGGCTGACCTTAAAGCATTGCAACTTTGAAACGAAGGGCTAATTTACTGTGGGGAAAAAAAAAAAAAAAAAAAGAAGTATTCTCTGTCAAGAGCTATTAAAGGTGGTGGCACGATGAGGGGAAGTCAAGCTGTTAGTGGCATTATGGGTTTGGGGACCGTCTTGGAAGACGGGCCGCCTGCATTTTCCAGAGCAGCTCATTTAGGATGCAGAGAGAAGCAAAGACCTTCCATCATCCATAGTGTCTATAGAAACCGGAGAAATACCACATTCTTTTCTGCAATAAAGCTTTCCCTAAAAAAAACATTCCTGGAAGACCTTTATTTGCGTAGTATTACTTCCAAAGTGAGGAATTTCTCGGGCAGACAGCTCGTGATGGCTTTAAGCCTGTTAAGTACTGTGTGCATAGTTAGATTTTTTGCTAATGCTCAATATGTTTTTCAAAAGTAGGTCCTTTCTGCAACTTCAGTCCCTGACAATCCCTGCAGCGCTGCTTTAGAAAAACAGCCAGGCGTGTTTTAATTGAAATGAATGCTGAGAGTTGAATGCTGTGTGTATTGGACAAGCAATTCTGGACCTCTGCACCTTATCTTGCTTTTGTACTTGCCTTTGACCTTATGCTTTTTTTCCCAGAAACTTCCTAGTGTTTTCTTTCAATTTTTCATTAATGCTAATTATTGCAATTTGCATACTATTAAGAGTGAACTGATTGAAATTCATTCAGGCTGAGGAATGAAAAGGTATACTTTAGCAGAACTGTTTTAGAAGGAGGGGAAATATTCAAGGTTTTACAGAATTTTCTAGAAGTCCTGTTAGCATTTCCACAGGCACTTGATAAGAGATGATTCTGAAAAGCAATTAGATTACCCAGCCTCTGAGGCTCCTTGGATGCACAGAAGCAACCGAGATTGCACCTACTTCCACGATCACTGCAAGCAAAGCGTCTGCTGTTGGAAGCAAAAGTAATCCCTGGAAGTCCATGGGTTTCCCCCATTTTTGCAAGCCGTTAGCCTGGCTCCTGGCCTCAAAAAGTGGGGAAGCCAGTCAGGACAGTTTTCACTGAAGCCTACAAGGTTGTCTTGTGCTGAAAACTCTGCCACCCCTCGTGTTACAGTAAGTGTTCACTGCTTGTCGTGCTGCCCGGGGTGCAGTGGTGGATGCTCTGCCTGGGTACCACATCCATCACCGTGAGCGACTGGGAACAGAGGATGGTGAAGAGAGCCTGAGACAAGTTTACCTCTGTCTGGAACTCAACGTGTTATAAAAAACGTATGTTTCAGCAGAATTTGGGCAGATTTAAGTGATTTGGTTATCGCGAATCTGTTATTTTCTGTTCTGTGCAATTTGGGGTTGGTGAATACAAAAGCAGCAGTGCTGATATTCTCAAGCCGCATAGTACTTGCATTTTTTTCACGTGGGCTCTGAGCAGAAGAAGAAAAGCAGGGCTGTTATTTACAGAGCTATTCAGCTCCCACAACTGGGCAGGGAGGCGGGTGCTTGGCCTGCAGACCCGGGGGTGGGGAGCAGCACATTGCTAGTAAGAATCAGTTAACAGTCTTAAACTCCCTCTTTGGAGGGAGCACATGTTATGATAATAAAAACCTTTCCTGGTAAAGACCTCCAGAGTTTTAAGGCTTAACTGTACCGTGAGGATGGCAGCTCTCCCCATCTCTCATTGCCTGCACTCAACCTCTTGTCATCACCTCTCCCTCGCTGGCCACAATGTGTGGGGCCTCATTCTGGCTCCACAGATATTGAGGGACTGTTTTTCTCATAGATGTAGTGAAATCAGGACTTTATTCTCTGCCTTCCTTATTCTCCAGCTCAATAACTGAACTCAATAAATGACCAAGCGAGCGAATACGCAGGCTGTGGCAGTGAGTGCTGTCGCTCCATCCTCTCATTCCCGGGGTTTTTTGTCTGCTGCTCTTGGCAGAGCCTTCTTTGGGCTCAGGGCACCATGGCTGTGGCACAGGTGCCTGGCCAAGGTGTGACCTCGCTTTTTCCCTCGTGTGGCTTTTTCAAGATGTTGCTTTTGCCCTGGTGACAGCACCCACGCAAACAGCAGAGGAGTCCCCACTGCGGCATGCAGAGTGCCAGCCTGCCCTCTTCTACTTGAAAGCTTGAAATGGGTCTTTCCAAACCATCTAGCAGGAGCACCGTGCCACCTAAAAAGAAGGCCCTAAGAAGGACCTTTCAGCAGCTTGCGCTGCCCTGTGTCCCTCCAGCATCTCCCTTTGCTCCTGGCACGGCAGCAGCCCGGCTCCAACGCCAGACGCGGCGGGCGGGAGCCGGTGGCTGCTGCTGCAGGGAGCTGGGGGTGCAACCACAAATTGCACAAGTGTTTGCAGCTGCTCAGCTTGGGCAGCCTGCCTTAAATAATATTTTATCAGGTCTCTAAATTATTTATCCACCACATGAAACGCAATGCGTATGCTGACTGTGTATAAAGCACATGCAAGTGTCTCTCATTGCTATTTTAATGTGGTAGAAAATACTGTCTGTCATGTTTCAGGAGCTCAAAAATCAGCCTTTTGAGTGCTTAGGCAGTAGCTTGCAGCTTAGTGCATTTTGTACTACACGAGCATGTCCACCATTTGTAATATTTAGTCTGATGTTTTGCAGTGGAGAATGAGGGATGGTTGTCTATGTCTCTAGCTGTGCTCCTGTGTATTTGCAGCCATCTTCTGTAACCAAAGTTAGCAAAAACTAATCCTTCAAACTGGTTCCCAGGTACGACTTTGTGGAAGTGGAAGACGTATCAGAGACCAGCACGGTTATACGAGGACGGTGGTGTGGACACAAGGAAGTACCTCCAAGAATAACATCAAGAACAAATCAGATAAAGATAACCTTCAAATCCGATGACTACTTTGTGGCTAAACCTGGATTCAAGATTTGTTACTCCCTTGTGGTAAGTCGCCTCTCTGTATCATGGGCGAGAGACAGATTGTAGTGTGAAAGAGCATTGGTACTTGAAGACTGGATGGTGTAGCTAACTGCATTGGATCAAAACGCTAATTGACTGACAGTATTTTCATTCCAGGAACTACATTAATACAGCTCAAAATATTTTTGACATCCTGTCATTAAATATAAAATAAAGTCAAGTCCAGGCCAAGGTTTACACTAATAATATGTTTCAGAGGCACTAACACTTTCTACACTGAGGCTGCACTGCCAGTGTCTTGACAGATGCTGAAGAAATAGCAAAGAAATGGCTGCTCTATGAACTGCTTTTTTATGTTCATTTGAGGTCAAATCAAAATACCTTGAGGGCTTAGGGCTGTGATTCTACATCAGATGCAGAATAGTTGATTCTACATGTAATGAAATTCTATGTGCAAGACAATGCGCTAAGGCTCAGGCTGTATTTTTAACCATGTATAAACATGCCTCTTTGTATGTGCAGTGGCATTAGCAGTGTATCATGTACTGTTTCAGTGAGATGAAAACCTCCTCCTTTTTTATTTTGGTTTGGTCTTTAGGGAGAATGCTTATTGCTCTAAGTAGATTTTGATACAAATATGTATTCCTTTGTATTGTCCTGATTAATATTATAATGCTTTTGGTGCAGTGTAGCTCCAACGAGGCAGATTTTGCAAACACTCAAGAAATGGTAAGCATTAATTTATTACACTGTCATCATTATATTTTCATGTCCATCACACTTCTTATTCCCTTTTTATTCAATCCACTGTTATTTAACAGGAACGAGAAAGCCTGGAATAGCAATAATGTTAATGCTGTAACAGGAGAGGTCCATTGAGTCGTTTCATTTCAGCCTCTTGGCTTTGCGTGCATGTATGCCTGTGTATGCTAAAAAGAGTCCATCAACAGCACAGTGTCAAGACAACTCTAAAGCTATAAAGATTGTGCTCCCTTGCATTTAAATTGTTAGGCTTCTGGTGGAGTAAGGCATTGCTCTGTGAGTAAATCCTGAGCTCTAATTTACTCTAATTTGAAAGTAATCTACTAAAACTAAAATTTAGGCAGAACAGTCTATGGAAGACCACTGAGCATAAAAATGAGACAGTGAAGCAGCCTCTGTGTACACTGCTTGTATTTCAGTGCAGCCACAAAAGCTGTGCTGCATTTAGCAAGCTTTATTCCACACCACGTACAGCTAGTCTGATAGTATTAGGCTTTCCAAAAATGAATGTTATCACTCAAAACATCTGACTCTCTGCACTAGAAAGCTCAAAAAAGGCTACTGTATTTATCTAATTTCAAAACTGTGAGTAAACACAGAATTTTACAATCTAGAAAATCTATTCAGAAGAATACTTTCCAAGTGCACCCTCTGAATGAAATACTATTTTTTTTTCTGAGAAGAGAACTGTACAGGTGATTAGTGGCATTTGTGAGATGGGGGATGTTGTGTACTTAGCTGGCCTTCGGATTCCAAACTGTCCAACCAAAAACTGCAGGATTAATATTCAGCAGAGTCAGCCCGTACTCGGTAGTCCCCACAGTCACTTAAAGCTCAGTTCATAGATATGCTGAGCACTGCTGACCCCTGAAGGTTGAACTCACTGTGCGTTTCTAGGCGGCAAACCCGGGACCATTAATGAAGCATGCAAAAACATATGGTATTTTGTATCAGATGAAATGAAAGACCTTTACATTGCTTTTTTCCTTTCCTTTGTAACCTTCTCCAAGACAAGGCTACTTCTGGGGGGGCTTTCTGGGAAAATGGTGCCCAAGATACGTGCAAACCTTTAACTCCCTTTTTTCTTATATTTGGAGTTTGGATCTGCATGGCAGTTGTTTATTTGTCTACCAGACTCCGACTGACAATTTTCCAGAGAAAACTGAAGCAAGTAATTTGGAGAGTTCACTTGAGTTTATTGATCAACAGCATCTCCTGAGCGTGGTGGCAGAATGGCTGGGTGAATTTCTTCCCCTTACGCATGCAGCCGAACAGCCTCGCAGCCTTGCTCTCTGGCCTTCTCATTTATGAATCTTCAAGGAATTCAGTTAAGCTCACTTCATTTGATGCAGATCAAGTTTTTACTTAGTTCAGCACTCTGCGTGAGGCACAAATGAGGCACCGCAGAGCTTAGCAGAAACATACTTCATTATCTTCATGTATGTGTGTTTTTGTATTAACTTCACATTTCAGTACCAGTTAGAGAAACAAAAAGGGATTATTCTTCTATAGAAGACATAAATTAGACTTGTATCCATGAAAATCATGTTTGCCTTTGTAAAACAAGGCATGTAAAGTAAGCAACCCATTTAAGATGAAGGGGCTTGGTCACTCAGGACGGTGGGATTAGAATTCAAAGTGACTCTGGAAAATTAGACTGAAAAAAATACCAGGATGGTCTTTAACAGGACAAGGTTGAAAGCCATACAAATGCTTGGGAGTAATTGGCTGTCCCAATATAAGGGACAATGGGCAAGAGAGCTGATCTGTGAAATAAAGTCTGACCACCTAAACGCAGCATTTAGCGACTTTTGCTTGCCAAGGCCGGCTCCCTCCACCTTCTTCCTCATCCTCTCCCTGCATCCTCTGCCTCTGCCTTCACTTCTGTGGGTCTGAGGGACTAGGAAGACTTGAGGGGGAGCAGTGAGGGCAGTTTCGGAGGGAAGGGGCAGATCCAACATGCTGCTGCCTGTTGCCTGTCCCTGATCTGCTCTTTTCCCATGAATCATAGAACCATAGCATGCTTTGGTTGGAAGGGACCTTAAAGCCCACCCAGTTCCAACCCCCCTGCCATGGGCAGGGACACCTTCCACCAGACCAGGTTGCTCAAAGCCCCATCCATCCTGGCCTCGAACACTTCCAGGGATGAGGCATCCACAGCTTCTCTGGGCAATCTCTGCCACTGCCTCACCACCCTCACAGTGAAGAATTTCTTCCTTATATCTCATCTGAATCTTCCCTCGTCCAGTTTGAAGCCATTGCCCCTTGAAGGGGCATTGTCCCATGAAGCCATAGGACTCCCTGGGGTGGGAGCTCCAGGGTGGACCTGACTCCAGCAGCCTATTAGTGAGTTGAGTGTACCCCACTGCTTATCCCAAGTTGAATAAGAGTCAAAAGTGTCCTAACATGGCTGGAAGAAGTCGCTCCTACTCTGCTCTCTGTGTCGGTGCAGAAGTAGTAAGTATGCACAGCTGGTGGCTGGTGTCTACAGACACTTCGCATTCCGAGCCCCGAGTTGTAGCTGTGCAGTTTGTTGGCTTAGCCTGGGTATCCGCACAGAGAAATGTCTCCCTTGAACCTCTTTAATAATTGTCTTTTCCTTCAAGCTTCACAGACCTAGAGCAAAAATGGTCTGGAGCAAGCCCTGGATGGCTATTAAGCATGAGCCTCACTTAGCTGAAAATTTGTTTGAAATTCCTCCCTGCTATTATCACATAAAGTGCTTATTTCTCAAACTTTCTTTTTTTTTTTGCTTTTCTTGACTGAGTTGCCTTAGAAACATTAATTTGCAGTGTAGAGGGCACTGAGGTATTCCAGTCTTTTTTCCTCACGCATTATATAATTTCTTACTCAAAGGACATAGTGTTTCACAACAAACACTGTAGAAATAGGTGATACAGAGGAAGATAAGTAATCTCAGGTTACTTAGTTGCTAGAGAGGAGGTAGGCACTGTCATGAGAAAGGGCCCTTGATTGCGCATCTTAAATTAAGTGATGTGAATATTCCGAATTGCCACAAATGTGAAATTTCATTCCACCACTGCTTGAAGTGCAGTTAGCTCAACAGAGGGATCTTACTAGCAAGTAAGTATTCAATAATTACTGAAAATACTGCATCAATTATTTTGAGATGTGGGAATGTAAATGAAGTTACACTGTTACACATGGAAATAATCTTTGCTTGATTGAAGTAATTTTCTACAATCCCCTTTTTCCTTCTGAAGTGAAATTATTCCAATGTCCTAATTCTGGAAGGGAATGTTAACAAGATTAGACCCTGTGTTTTACAAGTACATTAGCATGGACATTTACTAAAATAATGTAGGAACTCATTCAGGAATGTGTTCCAACAATAAAGGTGAATGTTTTGAATTAAAATTCCCAACCCTACATCCAATTTCATTTTAATGAAACTAGAAAATGTTGGATTCCATTTGCTAATTAAAAGCATTATTTTAAGTTTATTGTAAAAGGCACATATTTGTTATACGTTTATATCAGTAAATTGTTATTGCCTTACTAGTTGTTTTGTTAATCCTAAATGAAATCCATATTTTGGAACTTTGACTAAAATCATTATTGGAAACAAGGGCTACAAAAAAGCTAGGAAAAGCTATATGTCTGTGTACAAACATGCATGTATACAAAGGTGTAAGACTGAAAAATATGTATTTATATATGCATCTTTTTACACACATACACATATATCTGTGCTTTTACCTTTCTTTTCTTCATATTGTAATTTATGACTAGGAAACATCACGTGGCAATAAGAGCAATCTTTATTTATTTGGGAATTGTAAACCAACAGTGTTGGGCATGTGGTGCTAGACAGGCGAACATAAGTGCATTTGTCCCAGGAAGAATTTATATGTCAAAATGTGTATCGATGTGTTAGATCATGAGTAATTTTTGCTTGTTTGAAATGACATTTTTTGAATGAAGGAGCCATGAAGAAATTAATGGAATGGAGGGGGAGGAACTTTGGGGTTTGATCCATCATGTGGAATTTTACAGGGAAGTAGCTTTCTGCTAAACACCCAGGCTGTAGGTCACCTCTCATATGATCAAAAAAAGGACATTGGTCACAAAGTGGAGTAAGACACCATAGTCAATCTAATAAAATTTAATTACTTCCCCATGCAAAAGATACGTATCAAAGTTAGTTCAAATACTAAAATTAAACTCTTTGACATGTGCGTGTTAAGCTCACACGAAATCACCAAAAACTCAAAGCACAATCAGAAAATGAAAACGGGCAGAGTAAGAACCTGATCCTGATCCTTGTACCTACAGCGAATTAAGCGACTGGCTCCCTGTATTTTACCAGATCTGTTTGCGCCAGTAGTGCAGCAGCAGGCTGCAGTTTTATTAAATAAGTCAATAAATAAACTCCCTTGTAAGAGTTAACACAATCATAAAAAGATTCAGCCACCACTGTGAATACAGATTCATAAAAACCATAAAGAATGATTAATTCTTTATCACTGTCCACAGAGCTGAATCGAGCCTGGAAGCTGCATGAGTCTTTGCTGCTGTGCTTCTGATTTAGCTTGTCACTTCTTTCACAGAATAGATGTTTCATTTCTGTCTCTGAGACAAAATATTCTGCCCGAAAACCCATATAATATATCTCATGTGACAACAGGCGTGATAATAGTGCATGAATACCTTCCCTACTTTTGGATAATCCACAGAAGGAATCCCAGTAAATTGCTGGGAGTACAAAAGGAGAGGAATGGGGTGATGAGGAATGTCTTGGTTAATAAAGCGGTTGAACATGAAATAGGTCTCACGATGAAGAAGCAAGAACTTACACGTGGAAGCTTTATCAGTTCTTGTACTACTGTTTCTCCGATTTCAGTTTTGATTGCCTGTCTATGCTAGACAGCAAAGATTTTTTATAAATACAACCCATCTCAAAACTCGTAACAATCTATATGATGAAACTTCTATTTTCTTATGTT